AACCTCTTCCATTTAAAAAAATAAAAAATAAATTTAAAAAAAGGGGGAAATCTATCTTGAAAGAGACACAGGGAGTGTTTATAGATGATATTTCTCCGCAATTTTTTGTTTCTAATGTTAGCAATGAATTTCCTCCACCATCTTTTTTAACTTGTTTTTTTATAAATCGCGAATTGTTTATTTTTGTGTATCATGATTTCCATTTTTCCGGAGATCGTTACTGTCACCTTTCCCACTGCCCTCCCTTCTGTTCTTGATTTTTCCAGGTAGGTTCCCATGTCTTATGTTCTTCTCTGAGATTCGGATTTTGTTACGTAATTATCTTTGGTTTTGGATTGATTTCTAAATAGATCAATGGTTTGATTCGTAATTACTGCAATAAATCGTGTTTTGGCGGCAGTGAAAAGGAAATTCTAAGGATTTGAATTCTTAGAGAGTAATGGGATGGAATGTGAGATGAGAAAATGCCTTTACTTTCCAATTTTAGCTCTTAAATTTATGGATTTGCCATGTAAGAAAAAATTTTTTGTTAAGACTTTGTTTTCAACTTATACATATTAGCCCTGAATGTAATGTTGTCGAGTGTTTCATTGGAATTAAATGGATCAGACTCTGATTTCCTGGCTTTTATTCCCTTTTTGGGTTAATATTTTGCTAATATAGTTTATGTTTCTTGGTTTTAGATTTGGCGGTGGGATTTCTTACCAGTTTCTTTTAATGGAGAATGTCAAAGCTGAAGAGATGCCTCATTCAGAACCATCTTTATCCACTGAAGATATTCATCACGCTTCAACTGATACCGTTACTAACGGGGAAAACCAATCTGCCTTACAGTTTTTAGAGATGGAGAACTCCAAACCACCCTCTTTGCAAAATGCTTCTGTGGTCCCAATTCCAATTCAAGAAAATAACCTCCCAGAAGAAAGTATAGTGACAACTTCACCTATTATGATTGATCAAACATGGACATACCATCAAGATCCATTGGTGGATGATTCTAGAACTACAGAAAAAGATGACCCTTTTGATAGATTAGCTTCTGCTAACATTTCTCTAGTTTATATTGATGATGTGATTTCACCTCATGCTTCCTCCACGGAGGCAGTAGACTCTAAAAGTAGCCATGAAACACCGCCTGGTGAGCTTACTCCTTCACATAAGGAGATCATTGATGTTTCTGTTGGATCTGTACATGATGCTGATACTTCCGGTGCACAACAATCTCAGTTTTCTGATACCATTGTCAACACTGATTTCAATGTTGGCGACACAGTGTTCCCTCATGTTTCCTCCTCTAAGACGGTAGATTCTGAAAGTAGTAACCATGCACCATCAAATGAAAATAACTCTCAGGTTAAAATTGATAACTTTGTTATTAGACGTTCCATTTCCTCTCCTGTTTCCTCTTCTAAGGTAGGAGGAAAGGTAAATGAGCACTACGTAGCACCACTTCATGAGCTTGTAATGCCCAACAGGAAGATCGGCTTCTCAGTTGGATCCCCTAAATCTCTTACTCCTAAGAATGTTACGATAGGTCTTATTGATACTGCCGCTCCTTTTGAATCTGTTAAAGAAGCCGTGTCCAAGTTTGGAGGAATTGTTGATTGGAAAGCACATAAAGTGGAAACTGTGGAGGTATCCCATTTTTGGTCTTGTTCTAACTATAATCAAAGGGGCTGCAATATAATTAATGATAAGGAGAAACATATGTCTTATTAATGTTTCTTATCATGAGTTTCTGTGTTAATGTCCACTCAACCTTGGATGTTTTTTTTCTTCTTTTTTCTCTTGTTACTTTACCCGTGACAACTAGAGAAGTAACTGAAATTTTCGTTTTTGGCTGTGCAGAGACGCAAGATTATAGAACAAGAACTTGAGAAAGTACAGGATGAGATTCCTGAATATAAGACACAGCTAGAGCATACTGAAGAAGCAAAAAACCAAGTGCTAAAAGAGTTGGACAGCACAAAGAGACTTATAGAAGAGTTGAAGCTGAGTTTGGAGAGAGCACAAACAGAAGAGCATCAAGCAAAACAAGATTCTGAACTAGCTAGGCTTAGGGTAGAGGAGATGGAACAAGGGATTGCTGACGAGGTTAGTGTTGCAGCAAAGACACAGCTTGAGGTTGCTAAATCTAGGCATGCAGCCGCAGTTTCAGAGCTAAAATCTATTAAAGATGAATTGCAATCATTGCAAAAGGAATATGCTTCTTTGGTGAGTGAGAAAGATATAGCTATAAAGAAAGCTGAAGAGGCTGTTTCTGCGTCAAGGGAAGTTGAGAAAACGGTGGAGGAATTGACTATTGAGTTGATTGCAACAAAGGAGTCTTTAGAGTCTGCACAGGCTGCCCACATTGAGGCAGAAGAAAAAAAAATTGGGACAGCCTTGGCCAAGGATCAAGATACTCACCTTTGGGAGAAGGAATTAAAACAGGCAGAAGAGGAGCTCCAAAAAATTAATCAGCAAATTCATTTAGCAAAAGAGCTAAAATCAAAACTAGATACAGCTTCAGGCTTACTACTCGATTTGAAAGCTGAATTGGCAGCTTACATGGAATCTAGGGTCAAGGAGGATACTAATGAGTTGCAGCAATCTGATAACCGAACTCATACTGATATACAAGCTGCAGTTGCCTCAGCAAAGAAGGAACTGGAAGAAGTGAAGTTGAATATCGAGAAAGCAACTGCTGAAGTGAATTGCTTGAAGGTGGCCGCCAATTCATTAAAATTGGAGCTAGAAACTGAAAAGTCAACCCTTGCCACCATTAGGCAGAGAGAAGGAATGGCATCAATTACAGTTGCTTCTCTGAAAGCTGATTTGGATAACACTATGTCAGAAATAGCCTTAGTCCAGATGAAGGAGAAAGAAGAAAGAGATAAAATGGCAGAGCTGCCCAAGCAACTACAGCAAGCAGCACAAGAGGCTGATGAAGCCAAGGCACTTGCTGAAATGGCCCGTGAGGGGTTGCACAAGGCAATGGAAGAGGCAGAGCAAGCAAAAGCCAGAGCTAATACCGTAGAAAGTAGATTACATGCAACACAAAAGGAGATTGAAGCTGCTAAGGCATCAGAAAAGTTAGCTTTAGCGGCTATCAAAGCATTGCAAGAGAGTGAATCTGGTCAAAGCACCAACACTGGGGATTCACCTACTAAAGTAACACTTTCTTTGGAAGAGTACTATGAACTAAGTAAACGTGCCTCTGAGGTAGAGGAACAAGCCAACACGAGGGTGGCAGCGGCCCTTTCTCAAATTGAGGAAGCAAAACAGTCTGAGATGAAAACCATGCAAAAGTTGGAAGAAGCAACCAGAGAAATAGCAGAGAGAAGGGAAGAACTGGAATATGCAATGGAGAGGGCAGAGAGGGCCAAGGAAGGAAAGTTGGGTGTAGAACAAGAGCTGAGAACGTGGAGGGCTGAACACGGGCAACGACGGAATGCCACTGAATCTAATCATGGAGTAAAATCTCCTAGAGCAAGTTTTGAAGTGGGGAATGAAGCTAAGACTTCTGATGCCACAGCCGCACCAAAAACCACTGTCATGTCAAGCCCAGAGGAAAAAGTGCCTGTAAGTAACAACCAAACTGAGTCACACCCAGGGACAGAAAAGGTTGGAAAGAAAAAGAAAAAGGGATTCTTCCCAAGGTTTTTTATGTTTCTGGGCAGAAAAAGGTCACATTCATCCAAGTCCCAGTAAGTCTCACCAAAACAATTTGTGTTGTCTTTACTATTGTGATTTTCCCTCCCTTTTTTTGTTGGGGTTGTCACAAAGTGACTACAGAATCTGAATATGGGGTGACAAAAACTTCTTTAGGTGAGTGTAAATTTGATTAATTACTTGATAAATTTGGATTATATTTTTGCTTACTAAGAGTGGGTTGGGAGGCAAATTGTAAAACTGAATTAGTCCAAGTTTTGTCTTTGAAAATTATGTTTTTCTTTTTCTAACAAGCTTACTCTAGTTTTGTAAAATGCCTGAAAGAAATTAGAATAATAAATTCATCTTTGGTTTAGCGTTTTGAACTTATATACGTTCTGCATAGTTTGCATAAATTATAATCGCGATAAAATAGATGAAAATTCATACACAAATTAGTTATTTCATGGAGGTCTCTAATCAGTTTAAAAAATTTTGATTGAACCCCTAACTTTTGTTTTATCCCACTTTGGTCCTACAATCAACTGGATAGAATAATTAAGGAGAAAAATTGGATAATGCATGGAAAATTTTGCAACAACTTACATAATGGATTTTGTTTTTATGGAAACATGTATAATGGAAATTTTTTCATGGGAATATAATGGGATTATTGACACTTTGACATTTAAAATGGTAAACATTTATTTGGTCTAAATGTTCAGACAACTAGATCTTCTGACATCTTCACCCAAACACAGTAGTCAAAGGTTCATAGTATTAACAAGATCGATTTCTTGTGAACAAGAAAATTTGAGAAAAATCAACCAGAACAAGCAAAAATGAGATAAATATCAAGCAGAAATCTCTGGAGAAGTTCTGTACTTATTCCTCCACTTTCCTCTTCATTCATCGCTATTCACAAACCGATTAGCTGTACCATATTATTGCTATCAAATACCAACCTTATCCGTTTATTTGGTTCCTAAACAACATGACCATGATATTCGACTTTCCAAAAACTGAGACATAATGTTTACATTAACATGCACTGGTTGCCAACATCCATGCAAAGGTAAAGCTGTCAGGTACTAAAGACAGATAATAGGATTCACTGATTCAGATAATTAAGGACTGCATCATATTCTACTATACTCACACCAGATAAAGAAAGCAAAAATAAACACGGATTCCCATTCATTCACATGGAAAAGAGAGAGTGGAGTGTAAAACCTCTTGTTCACACGAAATGCCTTGATCTAGAGGAAAAGTCCTTTTCCTTAAGAAAACATGGACAAAGGAGTCTTAGTCATCCATGGCAATCCAAAGATATTTTAAAACGTCATTCATACTGCATGAACCCTCAAGATCTAGTCTTGAGCAAAACAATGAGTCACTTCTAGCTCATTTGTATTATGCTCGAGTCGAGAAATTTCAAAGTGTCCAGTTTTCTCTTACAGAGTAAAAGGAACTGGGATTCTCTTAAAAGGGTTTCAATAAAGATTCCAACTTCTACAAAAATGCATCAACATAATATGCACCCACGACACCGAATAGCTATCAATCAACGCAATGGAACCAACTCCCCATAATCTCTCCTTGGCATATAACCAAACATCTACTGTGCATTATTTACAAATTCTAAATTGATGGGCAGGAAAAGAAAAGGGAATCAATTCACGGATCAAATATGATTGCTTCTTACATACACATTCACTGAACTCAAACTGAGGAAAAAGCCCATGATGACCAAAAAAAAAACAAAAAGCATGTTTTTTCAACTTAAGGAAAATGCCTTTTTAAGGACTAACCTCGAGATCCTTTAACCATGCCTTCTTGCTTTCACTGTGAGATATGCCTATGAGGCTATGACTACAAGGAGTGAAAGAAACATAAGAGAGAAACTAGTCAAGTTAAGAGGGTTTTAACTTTTTAATACTGGCATTACTAATTATGTTTAAATCCCTCAATTAATGTAAATTTTTGGAGAAGTTCCTCTAATTAATATTTACCAACTACTTAGGTGATGGTGATCTCTTTCTGTTGAAACGAGATAGTATGGGTGATGGAAATGATACCATTTTCATCATGTTTAATAACGCTTTTGGAACATCATTTGAACAAAATTACAGAGGATGAAACCCCTTATCTCCATATTTGGTCAATTCTTCTCCCACACAGCGTAGTTGTTTCCAGAGGTAGCAAGTTGGAAATTGGATGGGATAAGGTTTCCAAGATCCCATCTTGTCCCAATCTTCACCATCATTTTCTCATCAATAGCAGCCACATAAAGATCAGAATCAGCTGCCAGAATATTAACCGTACTTGTACTGCTAATCCCATTCCTATTCCTGACTGCCACCAATTTCTTAATCTCTTCCTTCAATCCCCAATTGAAGAAATGATCATAGAACTGCAAAACAGAAAAAAATGTTAGCATTATTCAACTTCCCTAGAAAATTGGAAAGAAAATCCATGAGAACAATAAAAACTTTCTGCTTACAATGGAGGGAATGCCAGGATGGGTGAGAATATACGCATATCCCTGCATGACTTTATCAGATGGGAAAGGCCAATAATTTTGGGTGGAACCGGTATCGTGATTATCGATAAAAGTGACGGCATATTGCGGCAAAATTCCGATGAGACCCGGTGGCTTCCGGTTGGAGTCTCTCAGCCGCCACAACTCGCCTTGCACGGCGGCCTGAAGAACCCCTTTGGTCGTGAAATCGAAAGCCGTGACTGCCCCACCAGCAGCAGTGACCCAATCTTTCAACGCATAGCGGTGGGAATCCTGACCGCCTTGTCCGAGAGAAAGATCGTCCCATTTCTCACCAACGGCAAAGTCCGGCGACGTATTTTCCATGTAGATTTTGGTCATTGTCGGAGCGTAACCTTTCACAAAATCAAACCGCCATCCGTTGAATCCGATTTCAGACTTCAACCAATTCATCCAGTCGGATAACTCTTTTTGTACCCTCGGATTGAGGTGGTCGATGTCGGGGGCAGGCTGGAAGTCCATTCCAGTGTCGGGGCTTCCGTTACCGTCAGCATAAGGAGCGTCGTCTCTGCAAATGAAGGATGGACCCCAATCAAGACGGCCGTCAGGCGTTCCGCCTTCGAAAACGCACCATATTCCTCTGCCGTCTTTCCTCTCCGCCGTTCTGTGGTTTATGACTATATCGGCTACACATTTGACACCCTTCTGATGAAATGCTTCAATCAGCGATTTCAATTCACCCTGTGACTCATACTTTGATGCATTCAAATCATATAGCCTTCCTGGCATATATCCTGGATAAAACACGAAAATTAATCAAAACCCATCGCCTTTTTTCTATGTATTTTCTTGACAATGATTTGTTGATAATATTTATTAACAACAAGGTCTTACAACAATCACATGACACTAAACAATGTTGTGTTTTAAGAATTTGTTGTCAGCTGTGTAAACTAAAAACCAAATGACATATTATAGTAATTACCAATAGATTAGCAAATAGAGAAGTGGGATCAGAATTACCCTGGGGAGAAACAGATTGGGATGGTGGAGGAAGCCAAACATGAGTAATTCCAGCAGCAGCGATGTCGGAAACAGAGTTTTTGAGGGAATTGTACCATCCCCCTGGGTGGTTACTAGACTCCCAATTGAATCCCTGTCATCAAACAAATCGCAAACATGAGTTCTGTTCCGAATATTTGTAAATGGATGTTTTTATGTGTGAAGAGAAAGGCTTACCTGAAACAAAAGCGTAGGAGAAGTGAAAGAAGGGAAGACAGAGAGGAAGAGAGAAATGAAACAGAACGAAGTTTGAAAGCTCATCTTCTTTGGTTGTTATTGTGTGTGATGCATTTTTGCTGATCTTCTAGCTTTATATAGGCATCACCATTATGGGTTGTTTGAGAAGTTATGCTACAAAATATATAGAGAGAGAGAGAGACTCCTAAAACTTATTGATTAATTTTTTAAATTTAAGGTAAAATCTCAAACATATATATTAAGTTTCATTCAAACTCTTTTAGACTGGGTTTCCATTACTATTAGATAATTTTACCAACTTTAATGAATTCATAAATCTATAGTCAATACTAATATAATTATTTATGAAACACTGATGAATACTATTATTTTTTAGTTTTTAGAGTGTGACAAATTCTTTGGTTGGATTTGTAAAATGTTGTTATCCTTAGAAAAAGAAAGCATGAGTGTAAGGAAGAGAATGACAACAAAGTAAGGTGTCACTAATAAGAAGCTGCAGAAAATGGCGTATACGGAACATTGTCTTATCGTTCAAGCGGGGACTTTCACCCCCTATCAGATAGAGGTGAAATTTGTCATCAAAAAATGTTGGAAGGATTTGTTAAAATTATGAGTTTTCCCTGCAACCACTGTAAACAGAACTGTTATATGAGAATTTATTATCAATAAACATTTTTAATTATAAAAAATATTGTGCAATCTAATTTAATACAAATGACACAACTATAATTATTGATGGGCAAAGCCTCCCTAAATGTAAAATACAAATCAGTTTTGTACATCTAATATAAATTTCCAAAGAAAATGTGGCTGAAAAATGATAGACGTCTCCTCTATACATGATTACACTCTCATATAGTCATACGTAAATGAGGGTGTTTTGTTCACTTTTTCAAGAGATACCCCATTTCATGATTTTGTAAGGATATTTGAGTATTTATACACTTTAAAATTATACTCTATTTATTTATTTTTAATAAACTTAATTTAATTTTTTAACTTTTCATATATGAATTTTAAATGAAAATGTATTAATTTATATAAACAATAATTTAAAAAAAATTCTTTTTATATAAAATTCTAGTTGAATACTTTGATTTGATTTTAAAAAATTAATTACCGTTTATATAATATGTTAAAATTTCATTTAAAATTCATATTTGAAAAGTTAAAAAATGAAACTAAAATGAGTAATAAATGAAGAATAAAAGTAAAAATTTTAACATTTATTTTTCCTAATATAATTCTTAACAAAAAACTTTTCTTCTAATTTTTTTCCAAAAGAAAAAGTTTCTCACAACTTTTCCAGTATAGAACTCATTTAACAACTTTCTCTACCAATTTCCCATATACTTTTCCTATATCAATTTCTTATTAAATACAACAAAATTAACATTCCATTAAAAATCTAACAAAACTTCATCACAAAACTTAGTACCTTTCCATGCCTTTTTAATCACTTTCCTAGTAAGAATTTTAAGGAGAAAGTCGCCTTTAACAGAAGGCACAAGGAAAAACGGGGTTCAAAAACTTGGGGAAGCTGGAAAAGCAGGGTTCAAAAACTTTCGAGAAGCTATTTCGGGTTCAGCGAACAAAGAAATAAAAGGCCCAGTTCATATAACTTCTGGGGACATCAGAAGAAGAGAAGACATCAAATTTCTTTATCCTAACAGCCAGCAGGTATATCATGGCATGGAAGCCAATTCAAAATGCTAAATTCCATAAATATTTGAACCTAAACTATGATTTTTCCAAAAAGAAAACCTCCTAGGAAGATAGTACGCGGCTGCTGATCTGCTGCCAATCAGAATGCCACAGTAAATCTTACACATTAAACAGGAGGTGGAAAAATGAAATTAACAGGGAATAGCCTGGTAACTAGAAGGCTAATGGTGTATGATCCTATAAAGTATAAACCATGCAACATGACAACTGTGAATCCAATAAAAATTATAAAGGTAAGAAACAAATGCATGCAAATCCATTAATGAAGATGATTATGTGGATTTTGTGACTCAAGATTGTTACAAGCAGGAACTCTACTGTGTGATACCCTATCACATCTGGAATTTATAATGAGCAACAATAGTGATTGATGGAGGGTTCCAATTTATACCTTCCTCAAATGTCTTACAAATTAGCTGAACCACAACTTCTAGGGCAAGGGAAAGGATCTAACACGGTAGTGATTTATTCTATGAACTGTATCAGCTAACAGTCTCACATCTTTGAAGGTTTTGGGAAAATGTCAGGAGTGAATTTCTGAGCTGCACTCAAACTACCCTTGATCTTCATAGCACCCCTGCATCATAAAATGTCATAATATAAGCTAATTGTGCGAGTTTCCAAGCAGATATCACAGAGCATAATAGCAATTGAGGTCCAACCTCATAAAAGCAATTTGGGGATTCATCTTCCCCATTGCAACTTTTACAAAATCTTCATCCTTGAAGGAAAACGTAGCATCAGGTTTTCCTCCTTCGTATTGCCCTAAACAATAACAATCGAAAATCTCAACATTCAATCCCTTGCTAATGCCTAACAATTGAATTAAAGACACGAAAACTTGTAGCCATTCTAAAGTAGCACAAAGAAAGCCCTAACCTTTAATAACTTCTCCTTTCTTGAGATCAACGATATAGGTCACCTCATCAAACCCAATTTTCTGTAATTCATAACCGTAAACACAAAATCAAGCTCTGAACTTAAAATCAGACCCGCAAAAGAAGAGAAGCAATCATATATAAAGAGAGAAGGTGATGATACCTTGGGAGCAATATTAATCTGGTAGACGAGGCCAACCTTCTTGGTGAGCTCTTTGCCGGCGTCGGTGGCGAGGTGTTGCTTCATCTGCTCCAACAAGGCGTCGGATTTCAATTGGGTACTCGACATTGCTCCTTGCTACTGTGTTCGAGTCACGAAAGCTGCTGAATTCGATTGCTGTAAGCTTCTCCGCCCTTGTCTCCAACCTCATAGTCGGCGTCTTATCTTGGGCGGTTGAGCAACCGAAATTAATTGCCGGTCGGGTCCGCAGGGAATGGATCAGATGAGGCTAGACACGACACGCATCCCTATAGTTTCTGATTTCTGAGAGACTCTAGTATGGGTAAACTCATTGAGTTAACGTGAGATGTCTTTCTTGTTCGTTCATTCAATGTTTGAAGTGTTAACGTACGGTGCAAATCGCCCTTGGTGAGATTAGAAAG